ACACCTCCTAAGAACATTAGGCCATTTTTAAAACTTATAATGAAGTACATTTACATACAGAAAGGTGCACAAATTATAATGTATAGTTTGATGAATTTTCACAAAATGAACACATCAGAGTGTTGACGTGTTCAAAATGAACATTACCACCCTGATCAAGAAACAGAACATTATCAGTCCCCCAGAAGTCCCAGCTGGGCCCTCTCCCAGCCCAGCCCACCTCACCTAGGGGTAACCAATATTCTGACCTCTAATGGCATGCATTAGTCAGCCCGCTCTTGCACTTCATGTAAATGGGATGCTACAGTGTGTGTTTTGGGGTCTGGCTTTGTTACGTTTGTGAGCGTCATCCATGTTGTCCTCATAGATTCTTTCCCACTGCTGTGTAGCATTCCATTGTGTGAATATTCCACAATTTATTTATCCATTCTCTGTTGATAGGCATATGGATTGTTTCCAGTTTGGGGCTATTAAGAATTAATTCTTGGGGCCAGCCCGGTGGCGCAGTGGTTAAGTGCGCATGTTCCGCTTCTGTCGGCCAGGGTTTGCCAGTTCCGATCCTGGGTGCAGACAGGGCACTGCTTGGCAAGCCATGCTGTGGTAGGCATCCCACATATAAAGAGGAAGATGGGTATGGATGTTAGTTCAGGGCCAGTTTTCCACAGCAAAAAGAGGAGGATTGGCAGCAGTTAGCTCAGGGCTAATCTTCCTCATAAAAAAAAAAAAAGAATTAATTCTCATGCATGTCTCTGGGGGCACATTGTACCCACTTCTGTTGAGCACATGCCCAGGAGTGGAATTTCTGGTCATAGGAGATGCTGTATTAAGCTTTGGTAGATACAGATTAGTCCATTGTAAAAGCCACAGTGAGTCAGGCCTATAGAAGTTCATTGGAGGAGGATGTGATGGCCTCAAGGGACACAGAGGGCTGGCGAGGCTTCATGCCACCCTCAGACCATGCCACTCCGCCCCACTGCAGTCACCCCCTCCAAGTGGACTCCAGCCGCCAGGTTGAGTTTCTATTTTCACGGTGTTCTGAGCCAACTTTCAGGAAGAAACAGGCACAGATCATCAAAACAAACGTTCTCTTATAGGCTCTTTTCTGAAAAAATTATGTTGTAAGTGCCCTGAAAAGAATTTGTTTAAGAATTCTGAAAATATCAAAAAAGGTGAACAAAACCCCTCCAAACAGGTTAGAATTTCAGGTCATCAAAACCATTGCTCTGTTCTCACTTCACACCACTCTCTCCCTCTGTCCGAGCTCCCGCCACACCCTTACCCTCCAGCACACCAGGCTCTGGCATCCACCAGTCCCTCCGCCTGGGCTGCCCTTTCCTCAGCTCTCAAGGGCATCTCCTCCTGCTTATTCAGTTCTCAATTGGTCTTAACACCCTTCTTGTCATTCTCTATTTTATGACCTTTTGTATTTTCTTCGTTGAGTCACTCTCTTTCTGAAATTATGATTTTTGGCTAACTTGCTCAGTAGCTCCTGTAATGTCTGACCCATACTTGGTGCCCAAGAAATAATTATTGGATGAATGGATGGGTTGAATGAATCATTAGATAAGCCAGCTTGAAGGAATTTGATCTTGGACTCTCTTCTCTGGAATGCATGAGTTCTGTTTGCCCCGCTGGACCCCATGGGACTGAGGTAGCTCTCAACTTGGCATATGGTTTGTCCCTGAGTGCCTGCAAATTGAGAACTGCCCCTGTTGGGCAGGTGCCTCTCCTGGCACTTGGCTCTGAGCCAGAGGACACGGTGACAACCAAAGTGTGAACACTATGTCCATGATTAACTGGGACTGTCGCTCTGCTGCATATTTCCAGGCACAAGCTGTGAATGCGTCATTAACTGAGGACCTGGAGGCCACCTGATTCTCCCTCCCACCAGGGAGATGGCCAAGGCCAAGCTCCCACCATCAATCCACGGAGGTTAGAGGACGGGGACTGGGGCTTTGACCCAGCAAGGACTAAACTCCACCTGCCTCCTAGGGAGGTTTTCATAAAAGTCACAGTGCAGGAAACCAGTAAAGCACTGTCGTCCCTCTCAGCTCAGGGAAGCCCTGTCAAGTCCGCCGAACTGGCACTGTTCATCCTGCTTAGAAAATGAGAAATTGGAAGGCTGGCTCAAGTTCTCACAGCTAGTGCTTGTGCTGAATTCCAGGCCCTGGCTCCTCCCAGCATCCCGCTGTCTCTTTCCCTGGTGGGTGGTAACACTGAGGAAGAAGGGGGATGGGTAAGCCCAGCAGAAATATGGGCTGGCTTCTTACCCCATGCCTGCCTGCAGTGGGTCCCTGCAATTCCATCCCATTCCAACTCAAAAACCATTCCTTAAGAACCTAAGCATTCCAGGCACTGGACCAGGGTCAGGAAACTAATAGTTGATGATAATAATAACCATATCTGCCATTTCCTTAGAGTGCAGCACAATGTAGAACAGGGGTCAGTCAAGTGCAGCTTGTGGGCTAAATCTGGCCTGTCAAGTGATTGTCTAATAAAGTTTTATTGGAACACAGCCACGCCCATTTGCCTCCGTGTGGCTGCTTTCACACCGCATCAGCAGAGTTAAGTAGTTGCGACAGAGGTTGTCTGGTCCATAACCCTTAAAATATTACCTGGCCCTTTACAGAAAAGATTTATGGATCCCACTGCTTATTAGCTGGGGAGACTTGAGGAAGTTATTCCACTTCTCCATGCCTCAGTTTCTCCAGCTGTAAAAGCACCTCCTACAGTGGGTTGTTGTGACATGTGAGAAGGGACTAGAACAGGGCCTGGAATACAGTAAATGCTTCTGATATGTGTCGGAAATACATATGCTTGTGCTTTGCAAACTTATTTCATCTTCCCAGTAACCCTAGGAGGTAGATGCTTTCACCATCCTCACGTTACAGATGAGGACATCGAAATTTGACAAGAAGAAGTGGTTGTTCCTCTTGGAACAGTGGTACACAGTGTACAAGTGGTACTTAGTAAGGATTTGACACCGGGGAGCATCTGCCAGTTCTGGCAGGCTCTTCGGAGGACCCAGGAAAGGAAGTGAGATCCTTGCCCTTGTTGTGCTCTCAGGCAGGTAGACGATGAGGAACAGACACAATTCTGTGAGGTGAGGGCGTTGATGGAGGAAGCTCAGGTGCTGTGGGACCACGAAGAGGGGCAGGCACTCCAACCCGGGAAGTCAGAGAGGCTTCTTGGAGGGGGTGATACTGAAGCTCCCTCCATGGCAGAGGAGGTTCCAGGCGCTGATTCACACCACAAAGGGGGCTCAGACAGTCTGGAAGTTGCCACATTGTCACCTTGTTGCCTCTAACTCTCACCTGGCCTTCAGGAGGTGAGGGCATCGCAGAGCCTGAGCCACTTCATGAGCAGATGTGGACTCTACCAAAGTGACCTGGGGCTTCTCGTTTCTTCTCAGCCCTCCTCAAAGCCAACACTCACTAAGGGCTCCTTGCTTGGGCTCAGGAGGTCACCATCGTTGACAGTGGTCACTCAGTATCCATAGGAAGCAGCAGTCTCTGTCCCTTCTCTCACTGCTCCTGCCCTCTCTCCCATCTCTTCTCTTACCCCCTGCACACGCCACCCTTGCACAAACCTACTGGGAGCCACAGTACTGCCCAGCCCTTTATGTAACCTGCCCTGAGGTTGGCCCTTTTGCGGCACTGTCCTCTGTAAATCTGGCCTGTGTGTCTCATGCCCCCTTATGTCCATCCTGAGAACTGCAAGGCATGGAGCAGCCCCTACGGGAGATGGCTCTCCCCACCCCCACCCCCTTGGTTCCTGCCGAAACACTCAAACAGGATTCTTACAAGCCTGCTAAATACTAGAGCCGTAAAAGGCAAACTCAGTTTCCTGAGATTCAAGCATTCAGCACGTATATAATGGGAACATCCTAGTCATGAGCCATGTGATGACATTTCAGTCAACGATGGACCACATACACAGTGGTGGCCCCATAAGATTAGTACCATACAGCCTAGGTGTGTAGTAGGCTATACTGTCTAGGTTTGTGTAAGTGCACTTGATGATGTTTGCACAACTAATGGTGCATTTCTCAGAGCACATCCCCATCGTTAAGTGACACATGACTGTACTAGCATAGTAGGGGCTGTGCTGGGCACTTCTGTGTTCATCATCTTTGTTCCATCCATCCATTCATTATACATATATTTATGCATTCATGTATTTAACGTTTAAAAAGATAGGACGTACCATGTGCCACACTGAGGCACATAATCCTTCAAGCATCCTCAGCATCAAGACTGGTTTGACACATGGTAGGTTCTCAATAAAAGTGTGTTAAATTAGTGAATGAATGAGTTAATGAATGAAATGGATGATGACAGAAGCTAAAGTGTTTGGCAGTCACCCTGCCCCAAACCCATCTTGTTCCATCATCTCCCAGTCTCCCTTTGGGTTTACCAGTGCTTCCTTGGCCTAGGACCCTGTCAAAACCATTCTAAAGTAGATCAGGGCTGGGGCTGGGAGCTGGAGGTAGGGACTTACTTTCTGGTTTCTGGTAGTTTGTAAACCATGCACCTCACTCTCCCATCTCTAGGGCCCACCCGCTGACATGCAAGCTGTGGTGCAGGCAGCTACATGTTCACCAAAATCTATTTTCTTTTCCTTATGGACACAGAGCAGCATCATATTTCTCAGTTTTCAGTTGGGTGGGCCCATGTAACAGAATTTTGGTCAATGGAATGAGAAGTGAAGTGATATTTTCCACTCCAGGCCTGGGCCATGAATACCACCAGTGGCGATATTCTGTCTCCTTGTCCCCACTACTGGCTGGATACAGAGGAAACAGCAGGGGGCTCAGAGGCTGTAGGGGAGGGCAGAGCCACAAGCTGGAAGGACCCTGGGTCCATGAAAGACTGTGTGGAGCAGAGCCCTCAGTTCCACCCTCTGCCTGCCAGCTGGGCTTTGTGTGGCAAGAAATAAGTGTGTAATTGTATTAAGCCACTGAAATGCTGGTGTTTATGTGTTTCCTTGGCTAGCATTACCTTGACTGATGCCCACGTACAATTACCTTTGCAGCTGATGGGCTCTGATCTGTTCCCCTCAAAAAACAGCTTCAAATCTGGGGTCTTCTTAATGTCAAACTCCTTCTGAAGTTCTTTCTCGATGGTGATGTCCACTTTGCCAAAGCCGACCCCATTCTTGCCTTTGCCCATGATCTCCGCAGCCTTGCCCAGCTCCTCAGCCATGTTCCTGGATTGCTTCGAGGATGGGATGTCTGAAAGAGCCAGTGTGAAGACAGAACTCGCTAGAGCCTCACCCCCTCCCCCTCTCCCAAGGAGGAGGCTTTGTTTGGTCTGCTTAGCTCCTGGGCCTTTCTCGTGCTCTGCTGCTAATGGGTAAATTTTCAGGAGAGTGACAGGATGTGAGACACGAGGTTCATGGAATTGGCCAATTTGGAAGATACACATCAGGGTTCTTTGGGTTCAGCAACACTGGGCAACTTTGGGCAACTCGCTCAATCTCTCTAAGCTCCACGTTCATCACAGGTAAAATGGGAAAAATAATAGTGGCTATTTCATGGAGTTGTCAGAGTTGAACGAGATGTATTTAACAATGAGTGATATAGTGCTTATGATTTTCTAAGAGCTTTACGTGGATTAAGTCACTTAGTCCTCCCAGTCCTCCTATGGGGTGAGTGTTGTTGTTATTATCTCAACTTTGTACATGAGGAAACCGATGCACAATGAAATGACCTGCTCACCTGAGGCCATGTGGCAGTAAGGGGTATAGCCAGGATCCAGACCCACTCAGCTCTCTAACCTCGTTGGGTCTGTAAAACCCTTAGCATAATGCCTGGCACATAGTAAATACACAATTCATTATTATTACTACAGACATTATTATTGTAAATGTTCCATGGTCAGAAATTGTATGGAAGAGAGAGAATGGGGACGGGGGGGGGGGGGGGGGGGGGGGGTGAGAGAGAACAATAGAGCATGGGTGCCATCTGCTGGAGACTTCTGGAGCTAACAGGCCAAATTGGGCCCTGCCAGTTGCCCTCTAGCTGCATATAACGTCAGGTAACCCTCAAGTAGAGAAGGCCAGGTGTGGGAAGGGTTGAAGTCGGGGGGGAGGTTATGATGCCCCTTACCCTCTCTGAGCCCATCCCCTTGGGGAGAACATTGAAGAGACCTTGACATTTGCGATTAAGATTCCTTCACTCCTTACATTGCTGAGCCAAGTGGGGTAGGGGTAAGAAGGGGGCGCCCTTTTCCGGAAACAGCCTCAGGGAGCTGGCTCTTGATCCCGGCAGCGGGAGAGGCCTTCCTGGTCTAAATGAGAGGGGACTAAATGGCTCTCAAGTTTGCCTGCCTTCGCTGGATAACACTGTGAGTCTGCAGGTCCCTCCGCTGGCCCCGGATGTCTGCCACACGTGGACGAAGGCAGGGCAAGGGGTTGCTGATTCCCTTTCAAGCCAGAACGCACACTTTATCTTTTTCAAGCCCGCTTGTCCATCTGGAGCACTTGGAGAAAATACAGAATACTACCACTGCCATGGACAAGTTCCAAGTCCAACAGAGAGGTCTTTTGTAAAGGAAAACCAGAAAGCTGGCCCCAGCAGGCACACGCCCCATTGCCAGTCAGCACACCTGCTCCTGTGATGGAATCCGAAAGTGAAGGATCATTTTCATTAAACCCTTGATCAATGGACAGGAAGAGGGATTTTTCACTGATCGATTCCTCTCCACTGCCTGCTCTGTCACCCTCATTGCCTTCGATAGCCACCATCCATCACTCCAGCAGGGGCTCTCCTGTGGCTGGCCACCAGCTCTGGCCCTTGGGGCTCTCCCTGGCTTCCTTGTGGATTCAGTCATGCCCTGCTCAGGGTTGCTGATCGACAAAGCATCCAAATCTGAGTTTCTAAGGGAAGAACCTCAGAGCAAGACAAACACTTGGAGTGATTGTCCAAATGGTGGGGCTCTCAGAGGTGTCACACCTAGCCCTGAGTTCCTGGGTGTCCGAAATGGAAGTGAGAGAAAGCTGTCAGCTGGAATGCTGGGACCTGAGAGCTAAATGGATGGGACCTAACTATAATAGTAATGAGGATTCATTCATTCATTCATTCATTCATTCATTCAACAAATCTTTTTTAGGATCCACCATGTGCCAAGTGATGTGGGGTCGGTGAGCCGAGGAGTCGAAAGAAAGATTTCTTGGACTCTCAAGATCTGGCAGTAGTGCTCTTTTTATTTAGAGAATAGTGTGGAATAGCATGGGGACAGGACCCATGGGCAGTCTGAGCTTCTGCTGCTGCTGCATGGGGACAGGACCCGTGGGCAGTCTGAGCTTCTGCTGCTGCTGCATGGGGACAGGACCCATGGGCAGTCAGAGCTCCTGCTGCTGCCCTGAGTTGAGGGTTAGGGCTAACTTTATAAGGCATGGGTACGTGACTTATTTTTACTGGAAAAAGAGAAGATGATGTAAAAAGTCTTTAAATGATTTCAGTGTAGATGGGGTCTGGTTATTGTGTGGTCGTATAACTTTAGATACGAATCTGGTCATATAGATGGGCATGTAGGTGAGGATGCCCTGGGCTTCTCTCCGTGGGGCAGCCCTAATTCATACCATAAAAATCCACCGGGTCATATAGTTTGGCATGTAGGCCAGGTCACCTTGGGCTTCTCTAGCTGGGGCAGCCTTAATCCACATCACCAACCACTATGCTAGGTGCTGGGGATTTAACAAACAGATCGATAAAAATCCCTGTTCTCACTGGAGAAGGCAGAAAGTATACAAAATAAGGAAGTAGAATCTATGCCACGTTAGATGCTAAGTGATGATGTTATAGATGCTCTAGAGAAAGAAGCAGCAGAGCTGCAGGTTGGGAGTGTCAGGGGAACTGTGAGAGCAGGCAGGGAGGCCAAAGGAGGCCTCACTGGGAGAAGAGAGCCATGAAGCAGATGTTTCAAGAAAGACTGAAGGAGGTGAGGGAGCAAGCTATGCGGAAATCTGGAGGGAGAACGTTTCAGGCAGAGGAACTGTAAGTGCAAAGGCCCTGAGGTGGGAGTGTGGGGGACATGTTTGAGGAATGACAAAAAGTCCTTTGGGCCTGGAGCAGAGTGAGCTGGGGTGGGGGTCTATAGTATAAGCCCTGATAGTTGGGTTTTTTTTTTTCTTTTTTTATAATGCAAGTGCCTGACTTAAGCTTTGATTGCCAAGGCATTCGTTTCAAAGAGGCATCCGCTGCAAGAGGACTATCTGGAATAAACACATTGCCTGCCACACACTAGGTAAAGAACCAGGCTGCCTCCCCACTGAGTGAGGCCCCTTGATTCAGAGATCTTGGTTGATTTCAATTACTGAGGGTTTTTAATTAGGGAGAAACCCAATCAGATTTGCATTTTAGAAAAAAACTCTCTCTGGGAATACTGTAGAGACAGTGCTGGAAGGGAAAGGAGACCATCTAGGAAGATGCTGCAGTGGGTCAGATGGGGAATGATGAGGTCAGAACTAAGGCAGTGGCTGGGGGAAGGGGGAAAATTGGAGATTGCAGAGGGCTTTAGGAGGCGGTATCAGCAGGACTTGGTAGCTGGTTAGAGGTGCGAACAGAAAAGAGTCAAGAGTGACCTTGAGATTTCTGACTTTGACATTGGGTGGATAGTGGTGCTGTCAGGTAAGGCAGGATGTAAAAAGAAGCAGGTTGTTGGGAGTGAATCAAAGACACCGAGATGTTTTCGACACATGTGGCCTTTGAGACAAGTGAGGGACATCCAAGAGGCAAGGTCCTGCTGACTATTGGCTCTTGAGCCTGGAATCCTCAGAGAGATAAGAAACTGGGCAGCAGCTAAGGATCTGAGAGTTACCCAGGCAGTATTTCCCTGAGGACAAGATTTGAAAAATCCTTTCTGTAAAAAGCCAATCTTTCCTGGGAAAAAAGCTTTTATAATGCTTTCCCCAAGTGATTAGTTTTTGCAAAGGTCACTCTGGAAGGCCTGCCACTTTTTGAGAACTCATTTTGATTTAAACTGTGTATTGGAAGGAATCAAATATTCAAAGGTAATGAGTTTGAGTGTCTCTTCTAGATAACAAAAACGCTGTGGGTGTTCACTGCTTTGAAATACCCTCTGGTTGGAATGCTTTAAGTTCAAAGAATTCAAATGGGTGGTTATCAAATGCAATTAAAGAATGTAGAATTGAGAGGCTCCCTGTGCAGCCCCAGGTTCAATCAGCATCAATCCCTAACCTATAAGACGTCAGTTAAAGCCCCAAAGAGCCAGGAACTTGCCCTTCTGCCCGGATTAAAACAGAGTAATCATTGGACAGTCTCGCATTCTCATGCAGACGGGACAGGTTCCCAGTCTTGTCCACCTGCTGTGCCATTTTTGGAAGGTAAATGTGTGTGGAGACGTGGGTTGTGTTGTGCAAAGTGTGTGGTTCTAAATCCTTCAACACCCGCATTGGGTCCAGGATTCAGAGATTAGGGCTGCAGCAAAAAAGAGCAGCTGGCTTAGATGTCTGACCTGTGCACATCCTTAGCTTACAATTCCACCGCAGGCGGAGGAGGGCTGCAGGGTTCTCACTTCTTCCCTGAGAAGAGAGCCATGAAGCAGATGCTCAGGTGGTGGCCCGAGTCCTGGTGTGGATGGGGGCTGTGGGGAACCGGCTGGAGGAGTCGTTCAGCAAAGCAGAATGCCTGCCCTTCTCACAGACTCGCGTAAAGAAAATGGCCCAAACTGGATCTCTCCTGCAAGGTCTTGCACCATGGGCTTGAAGTAAAACTGAGCGCATCCCCTGGCACTTAGGTCAAAGGAAACCATGAACATCCTGGGCTAGACAGAGGTCGGAGGTTTGCAACCATTTTGATGGAACTTTATGCAGTAGGCACGCTCCATGTTGGATGGAGGCAAAAATGAGCTGATCAGATTTTCCCTTCTGGGAGCTGTCAAGGTTAAGGGCACAAAGAGAATGTTTTTGTTCTCTCTTGGTATGAAGTGGCTGCGCAAGCCCGCTGAGGAGGCAGTGAGACCCAGGGCAAGCTGATGCTGTCACATCCTCAACTCCCCCATTGCAGTGGCATCGCTCAGAGAGAAGGTAACAAATGAGAAGAGATAAGAGTCAAGGAAGGAGCTGGGTGGCCTGAATTTCAGGCAGTGGACACAAATTCGAATGTGCTGGGATGTGGCAGGGGTGTGCTGTGTGGGGGTGGCTGGATAGGGAAACTGACAAGCGTGTTTTCTGACCAAGAAGGGACATCATTACTCAGCTCCAGCCAATTATCACGTGGCAGGAATGTGAGCCAATGCTTCCTGATCTTTTTTTTTAAGAGCAGATGTACATTCAACTTTAATTGTGACATTTCCCCAAATAGGGACATGAAAAGTGCCACCACACTGGGTTGTTGTGAGGATTCAATGACTTCACATTTAATGAGCCCCCAAGGACAGTGTCCCGCACACAGTGAGGGCTCGCTGTGTGAGAGCTGTTATGAAAATCCCTCCCACCCTGTGCCAAGGCCAGGTCTGTGCCAACGCCTCAGGAAAAAGAAGCCTGTTCTTGCTGCCAAAGTGTCTGCTGAGGCAAAGAGCATCCGTCCAAAGAATGAAAGTGGGCATGCAAAACTCAGACGATAAAGGTGATGGTATCTTTTCTTGCCCATAGCTGCCATCGTTTATTGCGCTCTATTGTGTTCCAGCAACTTATCCTATGGTCTCATTTAATTTTCACAACAACTCAGTGTGTGTGTTATGTTCATGCCCACTTTACAGAGGAGGGAACTGAGGTTCCAAATGGTGAAAGACACCTGAGGGGAAAGCCTGGCTCCTTGCCTTCAGTGGGACAGAGGACCCATACAAATCGAGACTAAATGACAATGTAGATCTTGCAAATTGCTTGACCTCCCCGGACCTCAGTACTCTCTCTGGAAATAGGGATGATAAGATATTAACCATACGTGTTGAAGCCAGATATGAAACTCCTCTGGCCCCGGGAGCGAGGAGGTAGGTCTCAGCCCACCCCTCACCACCGCCTAGTGGGTGGGGGACACACAGAAAAGCACCATGAGGAAGCGGGTCTGGTTCAGCCTGTGGGTCAGGCCGGCAGGTGTGAGCACCAGCAGGTTGTGTTCCACCAGGATGTGCAAGGGCTGGGACGTGTTGATGCTGGCCTCCTTGACGTCCACCTCTCGTGAGCCCTGGACAGTGGAGGTACAAGAGGCCACCAGCAGCAGAGACATCCAGAGCCACTCCATGGCTGTCCTGCAGGGGCAGGAGGAAGGACAGGAGTCCTTATCAACACAGGTGGTGGGCCCCCATGTCTTCACTCCCTCCCCATCTCCTTCCCTGGCCAGTCCATGAATGGAGAACAGGGCCTGAGCATGGCCACTGCCTCCCTAGCAGTGCCGACAGGTCAGCAGCGGCGCTGGAGCAGAGGCAAAGTATTCAGTTAACCTCAGGGTCCATGGAAACTACACAGGGGTAGTTCAGGCGGCAGGGCCCCACTCGGAGCAGCAGGAAGCTGAGTCACACGCTGGCCACTCGAGCCCACTGGCCCCCCAGACACCAGGTAAGAATTTTTCAAAGATGAGTCCCACTCAGAGTGCTAGGGTGAGCCTCTGGATCTCAGAGATGACCGGTCCAATCCCCCACCACAGCCTCTGCTTCATGCTCCTCCAACTTCTTCTTGAATGCCCCTTATGATGGGAAGCTCACTACCTCACAGTGTACCCCTTTTGATTTTTGAACAAATTTTCTCCTCAAGTGTAAATATTTCTCTTGAAAGTCATCACCATAATATACGCTTCTGAAAATTCCAAACAGTACAATAAAAATGTGTTAAGTAGAAAATAAAATCTCTTCCATAATCCTACTGCTGAGAAAGCTACTGTTAGAGTTTGGAATGAATCCTTACAGACGATTACAAATGCCTGCATGAATGCACCTTTGAATGTACACATTGAACATAAATGGAATCAGGTATGTGTATCATTCAGTGTTCCAATTTTCTTACCGAATCATGTGAAATATGGCCTAGATTCCTTCCCATAAGAATGCATATCAGATCTACAACATGATTTCCTTCCTCTCTTTTCCTTGACCTTTCCTGTATTTATTTATTTGACCATTCGTCACTGTTCGAATGGTCTGGTTAGCAGCTGCCTTCCTGTGAGTTCCACTCTCTCTAATAACATATGTCTTTCCCAGCAAGTTAGAGCATAGAATCAGCTCCTCAGCTCTTGGCATGTTCTCCTCAAGCATAGAGCCATTTCCCCGTGTAGCATGCAGCCTACATGAGCGTCTCAAATAAGAAGATGGACAGCAGGTGTGCTCTAGGTCCTTCCTTCAGACAACTTGATAAGGACCTTAGCTTCTTTGCTGACTGCTGCATTTCTAGCACCTGGCATTTTGGCAGGAAAATCAACATGAATGAATGAATGAATGGATACTTGATACTTACCTGGGAAATATGTTTGGCAAATTGTGTGAAGATTTTTTTAAAATAGATCTTCTAACGTAATTTTTTGGCCTAGTATATAGAGAATTGTGACCAATTCTCAGTGCTAAATTTTATAAACACCTGTAGCTAAACATACTTGTCATGTACCAGACACTTCTAGTGCTTTCTGTGTCATCACCTCTCTTATGACAATCCTATGAGGTAGGTGTAGTACTATTATAATCCCCATTTAGTGAGCATAAAATGAAGCATAGAGAGCTTAAGTAATTTGCCCAAGGTCACACAGCTAACAGATGACAGAGTCAGGAGTTTAACCCAGGCAGTCTAGCTACAAAATCCATGCTCTTAACCGCAATGACGTACCACCTCTCTAGTGCCCCGCTGCAGAATGGATGCAGGGAACAATGTTTTGAGACATTAACTGAGGCTTCCATCCTCCCACCCTGGTATCCTTTAACCTCTCTCCACCATTCAACGTGGCATTCTGTCCTGCCTCAGAAGGGGAGGGCTGAGGCTGGCAACAGAGAATAAAATCAGATTTTTGGTTTTTGGTTTCAAAGCAGGCCTTTAAAAGTCATAGCAGGGGCAAGGCACTTGTAAGCCAGGGCTCAGATTGCAGGAACTGGGCAAAAGAAAGAAAGATGTTTTTGCTGTAAACTCTGGGTTTGGAAGAGCATGTTGTCAGAAGGAGCGGTTACCTGCCCCAAAGGAGATAAAGGCTTGCCTTGCCGTCAGGAGGAGGAGGATGGGGAAGAGTGGGGAGAGCCCTGATGCTGACGGGGTCCTGAGAAAGGGGTCCCGCCCTCTGTCCCTTCTCCGGGCTGAAACCCCAGCCCCGTCTCTCTTCGCTCCCCATGGCAGCCCCAGTTCCCAGGGCCGGGCCTGCCCACAGTAATAAATAAGTGACTGTGTATTAGGCCAGTATTGGAGCTTTACTCTCACCGTCTCATTAATCCTCACGGTGCGGCTGAGAGGTGGGTACAGTCATGGTGCCCACTTCACAAAGGTGGAGACCCACCCAAGATCACCCAGCTGGTGGATGAAGGAGCACGACCTGGGCTCAGGTATATTTAAGCCCAATGCCCATGTCTACACCGGGGGTCAGCAAACTATGACCTGCTGCCTGTCCTTGTGAAGACTGTTATCGGATCACAGCCACGCCCACTCCTTTACTATTGTCTGTGGCTGCTTTTACTACAATTCCCAGTTACGTAGTTGCAACAGAGACTGTGTGTGGCCAGCAAAGCCAAAAATATCGATCATCTGGCCCTCTACAGGGAAAGCTTGCTGACCTCGGGTCTAAATCACCAGACCACGCTGCCCTCACGCCCGCACCTCAGATCCTGGACTTTGGCGATGTTCACAGATCCTCAGACTTGCAAAGCCCACCGTCAGAGTGTAGCGTCCCCATCTGTAGAATGGGTGAATAGTCCCTGCCTCCCAGGGTCGTTGTGAAGACATGATGATGAGCACTTCTTACACCTGGAGGCACATGAAAATTCTCTGGGGAGCTTTTAAGACAATACTGATGCTCGGTCTGACCCCAGACCAGTTAATTCAGAATTGCTCAAGGTGGGGTCCAGATATCTGTATGTTCTAAAAGCTCCTCAGAGGATTCTTCTTTTTTCTCTTTTTAAACTTTCTATTTGGTTATTCTCTTTGCTTTCCCCAATTCATTCCCCACACAACAGTTAGCAATTTTCTTTTTAAACATAACAGACCACATTGCTGTCTTGTTAGGAGGTCCATGGCTTTTCATCACGTGCAATCCCACCCTGTGCTGGGTTCTATCAGGCCCCACTGGCTAGCTCTGCACCCCATTGTCCTATTCACAGCGCACCAGCCATGCTGGTCTCCTTCTCTCTCCTCAAGCACACCTGCCACAGGGCCTTTGCCTGTGCCTGGAACACCCTTACCCTGCTCTTCAGCCTTTTCTGGTCATTCAGGTTCCAGTGCAAACACCAGCAACTCAGAGGGTTCTTCCCAGGCTGCTCTGTCTCCCCCTGCCTCTGCTTCCAGCACTCTTGGCCCCATGACCCCTGTTTGCTTCAAATCGTGTATGATTATGTTTGAGTGTACCTTGCTTATGTTTCTAACCTTTTTAATGTAAGTGCCTTTGTTCGTGGCTGTTTCCTGCCTCCTAGGACAATGCCTGACCCAGATTTGGAGCTCAATTAATGTTTCTTGAATTAATTAATGAATAAATGACCTAATTTAATTCTCACGCAAACTCCACAGTCCATTTCAGTGCTTCTCAACCATGACTGGTATTAGAATCTCTCAGGGAGCTTTAAAAAATTACTGATGCTCAAGCCCAAACCCGATGGATTCAGTTTCATTGGTCTGGGGTGGTGTGACTCTGGGCATCTTTTTCTTTAAGCCCCCTAGGTGATCCTAATGTGTAGCCATTTAGGCTGAAATCCAGACTTACATCTGTGACCCTCTTGGCAGAAGGACGGCTGCCGGGGCAGAGCCTGTCAGTCAGAATTGCCACTTCACTCAAGCTCATACTTGCAGGAAGCCTGGTTACTCTCAGGCCCACTGGGGCCCTACCAGGGCTGGGCCAGTAAACTCTGGGGCACTTGAGGAAGGAAGTCGTGGCCTGAAGAACAGGCTCCTGGTTCCCTTTGTGACCTGAGCAGGACCCGCAGGCAGCTGGGTGTTCTAAAGAAATCCAGAGGCAGAAATGGAGTCCCTTCCTGGACACACTGAGGCCACAGCAGCCTCAGCCGCAATGTTCTGAGTTCCGGGGTGCTGGAGGCCCAGGTGTGGCCCTGGGGAAGAATGAGTAGGAGGAGCCCTGCCCTGCCCTTGCTGAGAGGAGCTTGCCCATGGACAAAGGCGGGGGCTGGGGGTCACATGGAGGGCCAGAAACAAAACACCCTGGGGCACTGGGTGTGGCATTGAATGTTCCTGAACTCAGGCATATAGATTGGAATTTGATCGAGCATATAGATTGGAATTTGAATCCCAGCTCTTTTTTTTTCTTTTACTGAAGTAGCATTGGTTTATAAAACTATATAAATTTCAGCTCTGAGTATCATACTTCAACTTCTGAATACATTACATCATGTTCCTCACCAAAAATCTGGTTGCCATCCATCAGCATAGACACGTGCCCCTGTACCCCTTTCACCTCCCCCCACCTCCCTTCCCCCTGGTAACCACCAAGCTGTTCTCTGTATCTCTGTGTTTGTTTGTTTGTTGTTATTATTTTATATTCTTCATATGAGTGAAGTCATATTTGTCTTTCTCTGTCTGACTTATTTCACTTCACATAATACCCTCAAGGTCCATCCATGTTGTCACAAATGGCAAGATTCCGTCTTTTTTGTGGCTGAGTAGTATTCCATTGTGTATATATGTACCACATCTTTATCCATTCATCATCAGTGGGCACTTTGGTTCTTTCCAAGTCTTGGCTATTGTGATAATGCTGCGGTGGACATGCGGGTGCAGATATCTTTTTGAATTAGTGTTTTCATGTTCTTTGGATAAATACCCAGAAGTGGACCATCTCTGTCCCTAAGCAGCTGTGTGGCCTCGTGTGTGTCACTTATGCTTTCCGAGGCTCAGTTTCCTCACCTGTAAGATGGATACAACTCACAGGGCTGTTGAAAGAGTTAAAGGAGATGATTCGTGCCAAGTGAGCTGCTCAGCACCTGGAAGGCAGAAGCCCTGCCTGGCCTCACCCCCTAGTGATAGTCATCTACACAGCGTACACACACGTCAAATCATCACATTGTACACCGTAAATATATACAAGTTCATTTGTCCACAGACCTCAATAAAGCTGGAAAAAATAAAAATAAAGTGTGTTTAA